AGAGAGAGAGGGAGAGGGAGAGGGGAGAGAGAGAGGGAGAGGGATAGGGAGAAGGATATATATATATATATATATATATATATATATATATATATATATATATATATATATATATATATATATATATAAATTATAAATATACATATATATATATATATTATGTGTGTGTGTGTGTGTGTGTGTGTGTGTATGTGTGTGTGTGTGTGTGTGTGTGTGCGTGTGTGTGTGTGTGTGTGTGTGTGTGTGTATAGAGAGAGAGAGGGGGGGAGGGAGAGAGAGCAACCGAGAGGGAGAGAGAAAGAGAGAGAGAGAGGGTGAGGAGAGAGAGAGAGAGAGAGGGTGAGGGAGAGAGAGAGAGAGAGGGTGAGGGAGGAGAGAGAGAGAGAGGGTGAGGAGAGGAGAGATAGAGAGAGAGAGAGAGGAGAGATAGAGAGAGAGAGAGAGAGAGAGAGAGATAGAGAGAAGAGAGAGAGAGAGAGAGAGAGAGAGAGGGAGAGAGAGAGAGAGAGAGAGAGAGAGAGAGAGAGAGAGAGAGAGATCTAGTGACCTGTTCTCGTGATCTCCCTCGTCTTACATACCAGAAAAGCCATGTGTTCCTTATCTCACAGTAATTCCACTGTCCTCAGCCGACTCCAGTAGGTCTACACCCGTGAAAATGACAAATGACCTAGAACCCGCTATTCAACCCTTATTACTTGTGAACATTCCCCGTGCTATTATTCCGTTGTCTATGTGTACAACTATGTGTTGTTTATACTCAAAATGTTCGTTGGAAAGTGCTTATTCTGAATTACTAATTATGTTACCGCTAACATTGCCTATATTCAAATGTCTTTATGTTTTGTATATACTCAGCAGTTTTGTCTCCTTATCTCGAAGCCTTTCAGTCGTGTAAACACCATAGCTCTTCTTACATACAACCGTGTGTATAAGGTACCCTGTTCCTTCACCACGAAACCACCATGTGACCATATGTATAGGAATTTATGTTCATTCAGATTCTTTCATGTTTTTCATTATGAATTGTTTCAAAACGAAGTTTGTTCATGGAAATGTCTGAGCAGTTCAGACAGACCGCTCGCCACGGCGGGCCGGGCAGGTCGCCCCGCTCTTCCCTGAGCGCCCCTGCCTTGCCCGTCCTCTGTATCCCACCTACCACGCTACCGCAGAATAAAGACTTGAAGCTGTATCAACTTTAACTCAACTCCACTTCACTTCAAGACACAAACGGCTGTACCATACTAGAAAAAGAGAGAGGAAGTCCACAAGTACATAACATAATTTGGTGCCATCGAGGTGGGATCACTCCGGGATCAAAACCAACTACATTACATAATTTGGTGGCATCGCACTGGGATATCAAATCCACATATTATTACATTGGTGCCAGCGCTCTGGGATCATCGCACCACACGAAGTCCTCCGAAGAAAACGCAAGATATTCTATCAACTCCTGCAAGCGGAGACACCTTTGCCGACTTCATCTCAAGATACATCTGCGATTTCCCGACATCAAGCACGAAGCCAGTCTTCCCTGCCGAGCTGACATCGCTTCTCTCTGCGCACAGTACTTCAACACCTGTCGCAGTCTTCCACTTTTGCTGCAGTTGCCTGACGCCCGCAACTTCGATCAACACTGCCCCGCCAGTACCTCAAGGTGAGTTTCTTTTATCCTCGCTGTTCTCATTTGTTTAGGAAATCCCCTGTGAAGTGAAGTGTCTGATTTCCTCTCGCTCTCGCAAACACCTGTGTTCCTCCCCTCATAGAAAACGAGATCTCCCCTCAGCTGACATCTGTCGCACTCACCCGGCGCTCGCCTCCCCTCACTCACTCATGTCCTGCGGTTTGCCTAACCTTTTCTCTTTGGTACTCTAATTTCTCTATAGTTTGTTAACCTATATTACTTAGTTTCTTAATAATCTACGTCGTGATGATTTCCGAATCTACACAATGCTGAATTTCAGTTCATTCGTTATGAACTATTTCACAGGAAATCTTTCCTGCGTTTGTTGCATGTTTTTGCATAATTGCCTTCATTAGAAAATCCTTCCTGTTTCCTAACATGTTACTAACCTTAATCAACTCCCCATTAACCCTGCATTTCGGCATGCAGCTACTCTCATTTCCCTAAAGGAAATATATTCTATGGTTTATCTACCTACATTTTTCATGGGAATATCAGTTGACCTGCATACTTGCACATGAATTTTACTTATCATTTTTGTGAAGAATAATTTCTACGTTTGAATGGCTCTGTAAACTCGTAATTTCTCGTGATTTTATCCTACAATCTCGATAGTTCACTACTGCTTTTTGTCACTCAGGTGAATGTTACAATTAACACTCTATTACGAATCCCTGACACATTACTTCCAGTCGTTTCCTAATCGTTTTGAGTTCGTGTTGATATTGTAACTCCCTGAGATATGGCATTACGTCTTCTGTCCCTAAGACATGGTACTGTTGTTTTCGTTCGTTGTCCTCAGAACCAGACGCCCTGTGCTGAAGCCCACTGCTGACCTTGACCCTCGGATCACCACGTCGTCGTACGAAGCCCCCGTTCCCTGGCGCACGAAGCCGCCGTTCACGAAGCCGCCGCTCCCTGGCGCACGAAGCTACTCTCCCTGGCGCACGAAGCCGCCGATCCCTGGCGCATCAAGTCTCGCTCGCCCGTTAACGAGCCCATCTCACGGACGTTCTCGCCCCCGTATCACCCGACGCCCTTTAGTTCTCAACTGCACGTCGCTGCAACTCCGGCCGTATCCGCCGTCTCGTCTCGTCTCGCCCGACGTCATCGTCGTATCTCGTCTCGTCTCGTCTCGCCCGACGTCCTCGTCGCATATCGTCTCACTCACCACACCTGATGCCTGTGCTGGTGACCCTGGCAAGAGTGGTCCTGCCTTGCCTGTCGGAACTCGTGACACCAACGCCCTGGTGCTCCTCCTCTCAAGAAATAACGAATTCTCCCCGCCAACGATGTGATCCTGATTCTTCGAAGACGACCTCGTTCTCATGATTCTACGCTCAGCACTCGTCCCCTCGCCAGAATCTTCTAGACCGGTGTGCGTGTGATTTACGAATGACACGGCGCTTGACAAGTTAACTGCATCTTCCAGCGATCCTGTGGAACGATTGACGAGCTCCGTGACTGATCACCACTTCTGCTCCCGTCAAGACCACCTGCGCTTCGGAACAGTGACCTGTGAACAAGCGCCCTAGGCCGCCAACCTTAGAAGTTACCTGTGCGACCTTCTCTCCTGCAAGATGCGAAACTCCCTGTGTCACTTCCCTCCGTCACCTGTCTCCCGTCATCCACCTGCATCGTCTACCCCAGAATCGAGGACGATTCTTTTTAGGTGACCGAGCGATCTAGTGACCTGTTCTCGTGATCTCCCTCGTCTTACATACCAGAAAAGCCATGTGTTCCTTATCTCACAGTAATTCCACTGTCCTCAGCCGACTCCAGTAGGTCTACACCCGTGAAAATGACAAATGACCTTAGAACCCGCTATTTCAACCCTTATTACTTGTGAACATTCCCCGTGCTATTATTCCGTTGTCTATGTGTACAACTATGTGTTGTTTATACTCAAAATGTTCGTTGGAAAGTGCTTATTCTGAATTACTAATTATGTTACCGCTAACATTGCCTATATTCAAATGTCTTTATGTTTTGTATATACTCAGCAGTTTTGTCTCCTTATCTCGAAGCCTTTCAGTCGTGTAAACACCATAGCTCTTCTTACATACAACCGTGTGTATAAGGTACCCTTGTTCCTTCACCACGAAACCACCATGTGACCATATGTATAGGAATTTATGTTCATTCAGATTCTTTCATGTTTTTCATTATGAATTGTTTCAAAACGAAGTTTGTTCATGGAAATGTCTGAGCAGTTCAGACAGACCGCTCGCCACGGCGGGCCGGGCAGGTCGCCCCGCTCTTCCCTGAGCGCCCCTGCCTTGCCCGTCCTCTGTATCCCACCTACCACGCTACCGCAGAATAAAGACTTGAAGCTGTATCAACTTTAACTCAACTCCACTTCACTTCAAGACACAAACGGCTGTACCATACTAGAAAAAGAGAGAGGAAGTCCACAAGTACATAACATAATTTGGTGCCATCGAGGTGGGATCACTCCGGGATCAAAACCAACTACATTACATAATTTGGTGGCATCGCACAGGGATAGAACAAACCACCTATTATTACAGAGAGTGAGGGAGAGAGAGGGAGGGAGAGAGCGAGAGAGAGAGAGAGAGAGAGAGAGAGAGAGAGAGAGAGAGAGAGAGAGAGAGAGAGAGAGAGAGAGAGAGAGGGTGAGGGAGAGAGAGGGAGGGAGGGAGAGAGAGAGAGAGAGAGAGAGAGAGAGAGAGAGGGGGGGGGGGAGAGACCTGGCCTGACATCCGGACACGCTGTTTTAATCTGTTTGTTGTCGCCGCCAGTGTTGTAACTCATGGCACTCGCATGTTGCACCAACTGTTACCTTCTTCGCCTGTTTGTTTATTCGACAGCGTCCCGTCAAGTGGTCAGGCCACGAGACAGCTGTGGCTATATATTCGTGTTTCTCTTAGCTCATTCCTTGTGTCTGCTTCGTTTATTCGTGTCACTGTTTCTCGTCCGTCTCCTCCCGTGAATGTCTTCACTATATGTTAACGAGGATGACTGAAGCATTCTGGAGGGGTCTTAGCTGGATCACAAATGTCTTAAGAAGGAATGGATGTACGTGCTTGCAATATATGTGTGCACGCTTTCTTTTGTATACTCATGCGTTAGTTGATAACTGCGAGTACCGCTGTGTACTATACAAAATGTCTGCTTTTAAGTGTGAACATAAAATGTAATTCTAGCTTCTCTGGGATACGACATTTGTTTATCACAACTTATATTGTAATAGGGTTCTTTGGCTTGTCCCTCTCAGTGAGTCGTCTGACCACCACCACACATGCCTCAGGTACATCACCTAGCTCCCAGTCTCCATTAATGCACGCTTTTGCAGGGCGGACCCCGCGAGATGCGAGCTGCCACTTTCCCCGGCATCCCGTCGGGCTGCCTCTCCTGCACCACGGGCGGACTCGGCGCCTCCACCTACGGCAGCAGCTACAGCTCAGGGTCCTTCGGCTCGGACGGCGGTTTCCCCAGACCGGGCTTGCTCAGGCCGATCTCTGACCCGCAGAGTAATTCTTACAAACATGAAGTTCGAAGCGAATCCAAAATTGTCAACGGCCAGCCTGTGTACGACCTGTACCATGAACGACGCTTTGAGGACGGGCATCTCATTCACGAAGAAAGGAAAGAAAAGGGTGCGAAAGACGTCGACACATCATTCGGTCCAGGTCAGGGCCAAGGTTATCCGGGTGGTCCTGGGTACTCGAGGCACCTGCACGAAACGCACGTGCAGAGCAGCAGCGTTGGTTCCTCTGACTATGGTTCCGCAGGGACGCTCTCGGCTCGCGGGGATGCATCGCCTCATTACACCTCCGATGTGTCTAGTCTGTCAGAGAGGCTGCGCCAGCAGATGCTGTTGCTGAAGAATCGCAAGGGTCAAGAAGCCCCAGGGGGGAGTCACCACGCCGTCTATTCCCAAACGCGCTACGTCAACGGCCAGCCAGTCTACGTGAAGAAGGAAGAGCGGAAGTACGAGGACGGCCAGCTGGTCTACAACAAGACGGACGAGAAGGGACCCGACGATCTGGGAACCCGGCACGTCGCCCAGCAGTACGACGCGTCGGGGTCCCCGGTGGGGACCGGTGGCGGCTTCTACGAGCGGCGCGATGAGCAGCGCCACTTCTCGTCCAGCAGCCAGGGGAACCAGGCGCTTTACCCGGGGAACTTCCCCGGCCACACCCTCGACCACGCCCCCACCCGGGAGGGATCCTCGTACCACAGACAGGACTCAGCTTATCCCTCTTATAGGCCAGGGTATAACTCAGGCTCCACAGGTTCCTCTACTCAGTACACGCACGAGTCCAGAGAGGAATCTTCCTCAGGCTACAGGCCATACAGGCCAACTTCAGGAAGTTCCTCTACTCAGTACACGCAAGAGTCCAGGGAGGAAACTTCCTCAGGCTACAGGCCATATAGGCCAACTTCAGGAAGTTCCTCTACTCAGTACACGCAAGAGTCCAGGGAGGAAACTTCTTCAGGCTACAGGCCATATAGGCCAACTTCAGGAAGTTCCTCTACTCAGTACACGCAAGAGTCCAGGGAGGAAACTTCCTCAGGCTACAGGCCATATAGGCCAACTTCAGGAAGTTCCTCTACTCAGTACACGCAAGAGTCCAGGGAGGAAACTTCCTCAGGCTACAGGCCATATAGGCCAACTTCAGGAAGTTCCTCTACTCAGTCGAATTACAGGCCATACAGGCCAACTTCAGGAAGTTCCTCTACTCAGTACACGCAAGAGTCCAGGGAGGAAACTTCCTCAGGCTACAGGCCATATAGGCCAACTTCAGGAAGTTCCTCTACTCAGTACACGCAAGAGTCCAGGGAGGAAACTTCCTTCAGGCTACAGGCCATATAGGCCAACTTCAGGAAGTTCCTCTACTCAGTACACGCAAGAGTCCAGGGAGGAAACTTCCTCAGGCTACAGGCCATATAGGCCAACTTCAGGAAGTTCCTCTACTCAGTACACGCAAGAGTCCAGGGAGGAAACTTCCTCAGGCTACAGGCCATATAGGCCAACTTCAGGAAGTTCCTCTACTCAGTACACGCAAGAGTCCAGGGAGGAAACTTCCTCAGGCTACAGGCCATATAGGCCAACTTCAGGAAGTTCCTCTACTCAGTACACGCAAGAGTCCAGGGAGGAAACTTCCTCAGGCTACAGGCCATATAGGCCAACTTCAGGAAGTTCCTCTACTCAGTACACGCAAGAGTCCAGGGAGGAAACTTCTTCAGGCTACAGGCCATATAGGCCAACTTCAGGAAGTTCCTCTACTCAGTACACGCAAGAGTCCAGGGAGGAAACTTCCTCAGGCTATAGGCCATACAGGCCAACTTCAGGAAGTTCCTCTACCCAATACACGCACGAGTCCAGAGAGGAAACTTCCTCGAATTACAGGCCATACAGGCCAACTTCAGGAGGCTCTCCCCAAAACACGCAAGAGACAAGGGAGGCATGGTCTTCAGGGCACACGCCAGTCAGATCGCCTTCCTCCTCCTCCCGACCCGATAACTCATCCACCCAGTACACACATGAATCGCGTGAGGAATCTTCATCCTCGCGTAAACCTCACGTGGACAGATGGACACACACGCAGCAAACAGATGAGGAGGTGCACTCGTCATACAGGCCAGCTAACAGGCCATCGAGCAGCTCCACTCATTATGCACAGGATTCAAGGGAGGATACTTCCACAACCAGTCAGTATACTCAAGAAAGTACCGAGGAGCCCACTTACCCCGGTCGACCTTCATACAGGCCATCAGGGACAACATCTCACGAGAGAGAAGAATCTTATGAGTCTAGCTGGCAGCAGCAGCGAAGAGATCACACCTACACTCCTCCATCTGGTGATTTTCACACAACCGTTGTCCAACAGAACACAAGGCAGCCGGAGACCACTACACAGAGTGTACTGGGCTCCTCTCACAGAGATGGATCTTCTGAGATTTACAGCCAGACTTATGAACAGTCCAGCTCTGCTGCTTCAAGCAACCATGGCCAGTTTAGTAGAGGATACAACTCCCAGCACCAGCAGGGAGTTTCTTCGCATTATTCTCAAGAGACATCAGCAGAAAGGCGTCTGACCACAGACGAAGGCAAAGATACAGTAGGTATTCCTGGGGTGTTAAGTGGACCACACACCCAGTATGGCAATGATGAAAAGCATAACAAGGAAAGGTACGACATCAGTCCCTTGGAAGACAATGGACCTGAACTCCCTTCTGTTGACAATGAATTTGATTCCTCTTACATACCTACTCTGGCCCCGGTTGACAGTGAAATAGATAGTAGCGTTACTTTTGAAAGGCGACCCGAGCCAGCCATTCATACTGACAGGCAATACCACAACTCTCGCCAAGACACTTCTCGAACCGATACACATAGCCAGGCACGTCCTTCTCATGGCTACAGTGACTCCTCATACCATTACCAACACAACCGCACTACTACACAAGGGGGGATAAACAGTGTCCCAGCATCCACACCCGCACAAGCACCAGATACAGATGATGCCTCTTCATACGGTTATCCTGGTGTTGAAGGTACCAGTCGCTACCACTATAATGAGTCATGGAGACATTCAACCAGTGTTGACAGTCAGTCACAGCCAGCTTATGGACCTACTAGCAGTTCCTCAAGTTCATCCCAAGTCAGAAATTGTGGACAGGTCAGCTGTATAGTTGTAGGGGATGGACACCTATCTTCCTCCAGGCAAACACAAACACGTGTCAGCACTAGATATGTCAATGGGGAATTGGTTGGAATAACACACCATATCCGTCAGTACGAAGATGGAAAACTTGTTCATGAAAACAGAACAGAACAATCGGTTGATGACCTTTCCGAAGAAGACCTGCGCAGATATGGAATCGATCAGCTCCACTTAGTGCAGGGAAGTTACCAGCCAGAAAGCTACTCTCAGCGTCATGAGGTCCGACAAGAGAAGAAGTACGTAAACGGTGAACAAATATACGACCTTCATCATGAAAAACGCTTTGAGGACGGATCCTTAGTTTACGAAAACCGAACTGAAAAAGATGCCGATGATTTAGGCATTTCAAGTCCTGGAGGTTATGAGGGTTCCTACTCCCACACCCACCAGGAAGGGGGCGCCAGACATGAGGTAACGCAGTCGCAACATCTGCAGCAGCATGTCACTTCCGGTGCTGTGGGAGATATTACTGCTGGACAAGCCTCAGAATCGCAACAGGTATTTCCCCTTTTTATTGTGTAGTTCCCATTGATAACTGGAAGATAAAATGAGCTACTTAACTTATTTTTAAGTATCCAAGGATGAAATACTTTAACAGATTGTCATTGTAAAAAATAAAATCCCACAGGCTACACGGTCATACAGGTAAAAAAGTGACACATTGTTGTCATACATTAATTTCCAACACTGTTCCAGGTGACAGACACTGCCCATGTGTCAGTTGTTCCAGTTTACACAAGTCGCAGGTACGAAACTCGCCGGCAGCAAGAATTTGTCGACGGTCAACCTACGTATGACCTGCACCATGAGCGCCATTTTAACGTAAGTGAATTATGCCCAAACTATCAGCTTATGAAGCGTTATCATGAGTCTCAGTGCTTGGTTACATTAACCTGGATACTAAATTGTTCTTTTAGAAGAGCTTTCACACTACAGATGAATGCATTGATAGTACAGGAAGAGCTCCCTATAATGGTCAATGCTTTTCCCATCAGAACGGATCCCTTGTCTATGAAAACAAGACAGAGCTGAACGAGGGCGAACTGCGCGCCTCCCACTCCCCGGGCCACCAGGACGCTCTCCACCAGATCCTGTCTGGAAACACCCTCAGCACTGCCTATGATAGGTCCTCCTCTGCCACGGCACATGGCTCGTATGGCAGCGGTCTCGAGATATCGCAAAGCTCCTACGACGAGTCGGCCTCCTCGCAGTCCGCTGGGTCCTACAGTGGGTCGTCAGCTTCCTATGGTTCAGAATCCTCGCGGCAGACTGGAGTGTATGGAGAGTCAGCTTCGTCGCAGCTTGGTGGATCTTACAGCGGATCCTTGTCCCAAGGCAGTGGAACTTATGGTGGGACAGGATTATCCTACAGTTCTTCATCCTCCAGCGAGAGTCACGAATCCTCAATGACCAATGGCTTTCCAGCAGGACACGGCGCCAGCTCTTCAAGGGCCACCACATCCGTCCTTGGAGCAGGTTCCTTTAGCAGTTCGTCTCAGCAGGAATCCTCTGGAGGCTGCCTCTCTTGCATGTTAATTAGAGGTTCAGGATTATCTGGGCAAGGATCTCTGGGCGTGTCCGGAAGCGCGGGGGCAGATGGCTACAGTCACCGGCAGGAGAT